CCCGGTGTGGCCAGGGCCGCCCCGCCGGGCTGGGGAGCAGCAGGATGCTCCCGCGCAGGACTGAGCTCGGCCGCCCAGCGCCCCGCTGGAAACCAGGAGTCAGAGCACGGCATTTCCTTCCCCTCCGCCGCCTCTTCCCGGCAAGGGGGGAGCGCGACTCTCCTCGCCCGTTTTGGGGCCAGGTCCCAGGTTTGGACTCCTGCATCCCCCCACCACCACCCCGAGCCCCATGCAGCAGGGGGCAAACCCCCCGAGGGCAGGGGGGCTCTGCCCGCCCCCGGCAGGAGCCCTCCCCACATGGAAGCGCTGGCACGGAAAAGGTTTCCAAGCGTTCCCATCCCGCTTCCCCCCCCGGCCGCCTTCCCACAGACAGGAAAGGACGGGCAGGGAAAGGCTCCCGCCGAGCACACGGGCCACGGCCAGACACTGCGCACAGGGTCACCCCCGCGTCCCCAGGGCCCCCCTGACACTGGTGAAGGGGACCCAAACCCCACACCTGACACCGGTAGCACGAGCACCCGTCTGCAGCCTCTGCTGGGAGCCCAGCCCGAGCCCCCGGGGGAGGCTCCCTGGGGACCCTCCGCTGGGCAGAGAAGCCACAGGCAGCAGCAACAGCGACAGAATCCCACCGGGGCAGCGGGCCCAGAGCTGCGGATTCTCTGATGCCTAATAAAGGCTCACTGCACACCATACCCACCCCTCAGCAGGGCCGGGGAGAGGGTCTTGTTGTCTCCTCTGGCCAGCAAACGATTTTTACCAGCTTGTAGCAACTTCATATCTTTGCGATCTGTAGTTTAAACGTGGCGGAAATGATCCCACTCGAATTGTACGGCGGGAGGAGCAGGCACGCAGACACCGGCACATAAACACACACAGAGCCCACGCTTCCTGAGGAGAGAAGAGGATAAATCCCACACCGCCACCTTCTCACCTCACACCAAACCCGACCCCAGGAGAGCCCAAAGAGGGGCACCCGCTGCCGCAGGGCGGGTCTGCAGCAGCGCGAGTCGTGTGCCAGCCACACGCAGGGTGCACGGCTCCCCCCGGCACCTTACTGCTCCTCACCCAGAGACCAGCAGCAAAGATGAGACACAAAAAGGTGGCAGCAGCTTCCACCCAGGCGCTCGCAGAGGTCTGCGAGGAGCAGAGGGGCTGGCGGGTGCCTGGTGTTTTCAGCTGGGCCTCCTAAGAGGATCTGCACAAGCCTCCTCTGTCCCACCATCAGCACCACCACTGACCCACCGGGCACCTTGAGAAGAGCAAAGATACACACACGCAGAGCTGCTAAGCAGTCTCATGAATGCAGGCAGGGAAGGTGTGGGAGTGGTCCCGTCACGCCTCCCGCTCCAGAGGACGGTCTCCACGCGAGATGAGCCCTGACCTGGGGAAACCCACAGCAACATGCTCACTCCCGATGGTGCACAGCCCTTATGAGACACTGGAGAATCTCCAGCCAGGCAAAGCCTCTCCCTTCTCTGGCAGCTGCCGAGGCTGGGCGGCATCTCCCAAGGAAAAGGCACCCCCACGCCCTGTGCCCAGAAAGGGGCTCACACACAGTCTGGGAGCCCAGACCCCCAGCAACCCGCAGCACACCGGGGCGGGGGCCAGAAAGCAGAAATGAAGAAAAAGAGGCTCTCGTTTTGTTAGTGAAAGGGGAAGAAAAGGATGAAAACCAACATGAAAGTGGAACAAAAAGGACAAAATTTCCCCAATCATCTTCGTGCACAGTCACTCCACCGGCGGTGGCTCGGTCAGGAATGGCTCCCGGCCGCCGGAGGTTCAGAGCCCGACATCCCTCCTGGGGCTGCGGCCGAGGGCGGGGAAGGGCCCGGGAGACACAATAAACGCCGCACCGGGAGCGAGCTGCAACACCGGAGGCAAACGTAATTACAGGCAGGAAAGCCACTTCCCAGAACCCCGGCTCTGCACTTTTGCTTTAAGAATCAAAACTAAAAAACGAGAAGTCCCACGCCAGCTTCCCAGCTCCTCACAGCAACTTTCCAAATTCCCCTTAAAAAGTCCCTCACAGCTAATGAGTGTGCAAAAAAAAAAAAAAAAAACCACCCAACGGACAGCCGCGACACCAGCTGCCCGGCAGATGCGGGCGGGAGCTCCCAGCCTCCTGCTCTCACACTCCAGCACTAGCACAGGGAACGCTCTCTTTTCCTTTCTTTTCTTTTCAGTGTGTTTTCTTTCCATCCCGCCTTAAAATAAACTGTTGCTTACAACAGTGACTATGCAGAAGTGGAGCTCAGCTTCCCTTCCCTGACTGTAAACAGAAGTACTTGCCTAATTTCTACAGAAATGACAAAAAATCAGCTCCCAAACCAGGGACACGTGCCTTCACTGCCTGAAAAAGCGAGGGGCTGGAAGAAGCATTCCCCACGGGAAGCACCTATCCTGCTGCTGCGGGAGGCGCTGGGGCCGGGGCGGCGCAGTGAAAGAGGAATTAACTCCCTGCGACGCCCAGCGCCGTGCTCACAGGAATCGGTGTTGCCCCTCTGAGCTGGGCATCGCTCGAACGCACCCGAGGGCCAAACCCGGACCCCTCCGCGCTGACTGAACCTCTGCACTTGCAGCGGGAGGCACCCGAGGAGCCCCCCCGCTGCCCCCCCGGCTCGGCGCAGGACTCGCAGCTGCCCACGGAGCTTCCCGCAGCCACAGGCATCCCCCATCCGTGCACAGTTTGGCCCCCAGCACCCATCAATACCAGTTCTCTGCCTGCGGCCCGGCCAGCTCCCAGCACCATCCAGCAAACCGCAGCGATCCCAAAGCCGCCAGCGCGGCCGGGGCACGCAGAGAGGAACGGGGAAGGCGGTTGGACGCTCTCCCAGATGCGGCGGGTTTCCATAATTAACCTCCACACAGCAAATAGGTCTCACAAGTTTTGGGAACTGCTCCTTGCTGCCTTGCCAACGAGGAATTGTTGAAATGCCTCCACCACCTCCAGCCCCGCAATGCCCTGGCTGCTCCCAAGGGCATCGCTCCGCCAGGGACGGCACCGCGTGGGGAGGGGGGCACGGCCCTGCTCACGTCCCGGTGCGGGTGAGCACGAGGGAAATGGGGGGCTAAATCCCAGAGGTAGGGCAGAAATTGCCGGCCAGCGTCTGTGTGGGTGCCGGGACCTGAGCACGGCTCGGTACGACCTGGGCAAGAAGCGCTCTGGCTACCACGGCGCAGGGCTTCTGGATCACCTCGTGCGCCACCCTCAAACATCACCCCCAGGTCCTGCGCTGCCACATGCCCCC